ACCGACGCTTTCTCCTTAGCAACCAGCGCCGCTCCCGCCATGGCCGAAGAGAAAGTCGCTGCCCCGACGGAGAAAGTTAGCCGGATTCAGCGAGTGTTTATAAACCTGCTGGACACATACAGCAGCAGAAACATCGGGAAGGTGAGCGGCGGCGGGTCAGAGCAGGACCCCAGCCCCCAGCTCCCAGTCCCCCGCGCCCGGCACCCCGAACGCAGCGAGAGCCTGTGCCACTGGGCGCTGACGGGGCCTCCCCTAAGGGAGGGTCCCTCGTTCTGGGCACGCCAATGCTCCCTGGACCCCAGGCCGCACCCAGGCTAGACAAGAGCCCCTCCTGGAAGCCTAGATGTTTGGAGATCGCCGGTCCAGCCCCGGGTCCTCTTCTGTTAATGGGGGGAAACTGGGGCTCAGAGGGTGGCAGGGACTTGCCCAAGATCACATGGCGAGTTGGGGGCAGGACCTGGCCACAGAGCCCAGTCTCTGGCCTCCTAACTACATTATCTTTCCCCTCTGCCATCTGAAGCAGGCAACCGACAGATAATAAGTCAATGGTTTTATCACTGACCAAGCATTTTTCATTCATCCATCCCTTCAACATACGGTTTTGGCGTCTATTATGTGCCAGGCACTGTTTTGGTCCCTGACTCCCATTAAGCTTCCTCACCGTTCTCCATCTTTATCCCTGGAAAATGAAGATATTAAAAAAAGAGGACGCTGGGGGCTTCCTCTTAAAATGCTCAGCAGTCAAAAGAAAGCCATAATTTTATCATTTCCCTGAGTAGGACTCACTGATCCTATTTCTACCCCCTGGAGCTACATAGAAGTCTAACCTCACCCTGGGCAGATTTCTGTGAGGCTGTAATGATCACACTTTCCAACAACACAAGCTCCCTAAAATAGGATGAGGCTGCAGAGCATACCACCTGTATTGGTTTCTCAGGGCTGTGGTAACAAATTACCTCCAACAATGGAATTTATTCTCTCCCAGTTCTGGAGGCCAGAAGTCCAAAATCAAGGTGTCGGCAAGGTTGGTTCCTACTGGAGGCTTCAGGGGAAAATCTGTTCCATGCTTCTCTCCCAGCTTCTGGTGGTTGCCAGCAATGCTTGGCATCCCTTGGCTTGTAGACTCATCACTCTAATCTCTGCCTCCCTCTTCACATGGTGTTCTCCCCAGAGTGTCTGTGTGTCCAAATTTCCTCCTTCTTATAAGGACACTAGTCATTGGGTTAGAGCCCGCCCCGGTTCAGTATGACTTCATTTTAACTTGATTACATCTGCAAAGACCCTATTTCCAAATATGGTCGCATTCACAAGTTCCAGATGGACAGGAATTTGGGGGGGAGGGGACAGTGTTCAACCCAGTACACCATCTAAAGCTGATCAGTCAAAAATATACAGATTTAGGGGCTGGCCCAGTGGCATAGTGGTTAAGTTCACGAGCTCCACTTTGGTGGCCCAGGGTTCAAAGGTTCAGATCCTGGGCGAAGACCTACGCACTGCTTATCAAGCCATGCTGTGGCAGGTGTCCCACATATAAAGTAGCATGGATGTTAGCCCAGGGCCAATCTCCCTCAGCAAAAAAAAAAAAAAAAAATCAAATAAAAAATATATATATACAGATTTAGATATATAATTTATATGTGAAAATAGTATATTTTTATATAGCGTGTAATTATATATCATAAACAATATATGTGATATTATATATGATATATCTCTTCTAGAAGGGACTAAAAACATGTGACATATCTTCCACATTACCAGAAAAGGGAGGAAAGAAGAGACAAGGACACAAACAAAACTAAAACAATAACAAAGTATTTTTTTAAAGAAGGGAAGCATTGAAAAGACAGGTGTGGTATGAACTGATTTGTGTCTTTCAAAAAGATGAATACTCCATGCTGAGGCCGCGTCCCACATACAGCAACTAGAAGGATGTGCAGCTATGACATACAACTATCTACTGGGGCTTTGGGGGGAAAAATAAATAAATAAATAAAATCTTTAAAAAAAGAAAAAAGATGAATACAGATATACAGAAGATAGGTTGATCGATCACACAGAAAATGTCTATACACAGAAAATGTCTCAAAGGATACAAGAGAAGCTTAACTATTGTCTTCTCTGGAGGATAGGATTCATTCATTCATGAACACCTACTAAATGGCAGGCACAGAGAACTACACAGTGAATAAGACCAGAAAAGGTTGCTACCCTCAAGGACCCCACCTCTCTGGAAGGAGATAGACAATAAATAATTTCCAGAATAAGCAAGACATTTCAATGTGTTATAAGTGCTCTGAAGGACAGAGAATACAGATGCTGATTGGTAGGAGTGACCGGCTGCTTTAGATAGAGTTGCATGAGAGGGCTCTCTCGGAAGGCGACGTTTAGTCTGATATACATAGGATGCAGATCAAGCTGGAGGAACTAGTTCTCAGGGAGCCTGGCAAAGGCAAGAGTTCTGAGGTGGGAGTCAGGTTGGCTCTTTCAGAGGACAGAGTGGCGAGCGTGCAGTGAACCAGAGGCTCCAGGCCGACTTCACTGGTGCAGCAGGCACAGTGCCCAGGGCCCGTGAGACTCTGGGGCCCCCAACAATGTTTTAATTTCTTTTAAAGTCAGAAAAAAGTAAATGAAATTTTAGAGTCAAAGACTGTGTGTCTTTATAGCAATACGGTCATAAAATATAATTTTTTATATTTTTTATGGAGGAACAGGCCCATGCAAGTCAGAATATGACCCTGCTCAGCAACTAAACAGTGCCTCACACATGGTCAGCAATCTCTCGATATTTGTTGCATAAATTAACGAAGCAGAGTCAAGCACAAAGGCCCAGACCGTGTCGGGTGAGGAGTTTGGTTTATATTCTAAATCCAATGAAAGCCATTGGAGTATTTAAAAAGGGAGGTGACAGGACTGAGATTAGGAGGGAGGGAGGGAGGGAGGAGAATTTAACTTTTTACTTTAACCTCTTTTGATCCCTGATTATTTTCTACAACATACTATTTTTATAATAAAACTTTTTCTTTTAGTATGCAGAGATCTTTTTGAAAAGCTTTTCAATAATGGAATTTTCTAGTTATTTCTGAACTAACCAGGCCCCCTCTTTCTCAAATCCCAAGTAATTGCTGTTATATGTACTAAGCAACATAGGAGTGGGAATATGAAGCTGTCAGGGATGGGGAAATTTTGCCCTTACCCCTCTTGATTTCTTCTGGCTGGACTAATAAAAAAAACTCAAGACAGATTACCAGGAGAAAAAACAATTTAATATGTATGAATGGGAGATCATAAAAATGATGCTTAGAGAAATGACCAAAGCAGGCAGCTTGTATATCTTTTTACACTAAGAAACAAATTTGTGAGGCTTTGACAGGACAAAGAAACTTAGGTTTGGGTGCTTAATTAGTAAGAAATTTAAGCAGAGTTTGAGTTTGAGGTAGTAATTAGTAAAAAAGTAACACGGTTTGTTTATACAGGATTCTTGGCCCTGAATTCCTTAGCTCTGGTGATAAGGATGTCTCTCTATCCCTGGCACTGGGAGGATACCTTTCACATGGGAGATTTATTTCATGTTTTCAGGGAGAACAGAGAGAGGAGGGTCAAAATGCCCTTTTTGCATCAGCTGCTTCTCAAGTAACTTTAATACAAGATAATCAATATACTTTTGTGTCATATTTTGGGGCAGCCTGCCCTGGGCCCCAACAAATCATATAAAAGGAATAGAAGCCAGATTTCTTGTCTTCTGGCTCACAGCCCAGTGGGGGCAGTGCCCCAGCCCCTGCTTCCCCTGGTCCCTGGGAGGGCGTAGCGTGGTGGGGTGTGGCACCTGTGTGGCCTTGGGTGTCAGAAGGTCCCACTTCACCCCTCCCTGCCCGTGTGATCTTGGGCAAGTTACTGCTGGCCACCAATTTCCTCATCCGTGAAATGTAATAATAAAATTGAATATGTATGTTTGAGAGAGAAATGAAAATATATATGACCTACTTGGGAAAAATATATTCCAATAAGAGGTTGAACCTGACAACCTTGCATCCTAACTTGGACTGTTTTTTATCAAAATAAATGAGGTGGGACTTTTTGTTTGTTTGGTTTTGGTATATTTTTACTCCCAAGGTGTGATAATGTCATGATTATTTACATATGTTTAATATACAAATTAAAATAAATTATTTTTATTTGTAGATAAATAAAATTATATATCTATGAAACTCTTTAACATTGCATAAACCACTCCCAGGGAAAGCTTTTGTAAAGCAAGAAACGAAACTTTCTATTTCATTATTCATCACGGTAGCCACTGGCCGCATATGGCTGGTTTTAAATGTGGCGAGTCCAAATGGAGATGTGCCATAAGTGTAAAATGCACATCGAATTTCAAAGTCTTAGTATGAAAAAAAATAATATAAAATATCTCATTAATAACTTTTATGTTGATTACATGTTAACTTGATAATATTCTGGATATATTGGGTTAAATAAAACATTATTTAAATTAATTTCACCTGTTTCTTTTTACGTCCATTAATGTGGCTACCAGCAAATTTAAATTACCTGAGTGGATCACATTACATTTCTACAATTCTATTAGACGAGACAAACGTCGTGACTATAGCCCAGCTCTGCCTGTTGCCTGAGAAGGATCATATCCTTAACCGGTTCTTTAGGCTCTCTGAGCCTGAGTTCCTCATCTATAAAATGGGGAATCATAATAGTACCCACTCCACTGTGTTGTTGTGGGAATTAAATCAATTTCAGTGAGATACCAGTGTACAAAGCATTTGCTCTGCCTGTGGGCGCCTCCAGCAAGCCTTCAATGAAGGTTAGTTTTAGAATCATCACTCACTGACTGCCCTTCCTCTACGTTGTTCTTGCTAGTGGGGAAATTTCTGTTTTCTTGCAGTTTCTCTCTAACTGTGTAGTCGGGGCTTCGCTTGAAGACATTACCGAAGAAGAGGAAGAGGAAGATGAAAGCAAGTCAGCTATGCCGGGCGCCTCCTCAGCCAAACTGAAGGAAGGCACATTCCAGATTGTGGGCACGCTTTCCAACCTCGAAAACCTTCGGCCCAGCTTTGCCGTGGAGACATACTGTGTAAGTCCAGGGGGCGTTGCTAAGAGTAGACAAAGGAAGAGTCCCCTTTGGCTCCAACATGCATACAGTATGTTTTTACCCTGCTTCTCATTCCCTCTCTTCTGTGAGCATGGGGGAAGATGAGGGACAGGAGGGGGCAGGACTTTCTCCTCTGATGGAGAGCCACAACCATCATCTCCACTTTATGTGTTTGCCTGAAGGACAGAATTTACATGAGATGTTCTTGGAAAGGACAGATCTCATTTGGACTCTCAGAGTCATAAAATTCTCTATACTGTGTTTAAAATGTATTCTGCCCTGTATCACCCCAACACGACTCTGGGCCATGGTGGGTGTTGTCTGTGAAAGAGAAATCTCTTTGGTAAGAAGCCACTCAGGGGTAACCATTGTATGCTGTCTCATTGAGAAACAGTGCTGCCTCCACGTGACAAATGCTACACAGTCCTCATCCGGAGACATTTAAATACCTCTGAGAGGGGTGTCCCTCCCAGACTAACTCCTCCCATCGCCCTGCCTGCTACTCTCCGGACACTACCAAATAGCTTTGCACCCATTTTTCCTCTTCCTGGTACAGCCTTTCCTCTTCCCTCTCTCAACCAGCCTTATTTATTCTTCAAGATTTAACTCAGGAGGTCACCTCCTCCAGGAAGGCCTTCATGATTCCCACTTCTTCCCCACTCCTAGTTTGGATTCTCAGCTCTTTTATTGTGCTCCCGTAACATCTTTTACCTTCCTAGATCATAACACTTTTCACACCCATCTGTCTATTGTGGGTCCCTCTGACCATACCATCAGCTCCTATCAGCTCCTTGAGAGGAGAGACTGTGCCTCATTTATTCCCCTTTTATCCATGCACCTTCAGCATTTAGCACAGCAACTGGTGGAAAGTGGCCCTCAATAAATATTTATGAAATGAATGGATGAGTCCCCTCCCACCACCTTCGGGAAATTTCTTCACCACTTACCCTCTTTCACACTCTTCCGGGTCTTCCCTTGACACTGGCTTCTTTCTTGCTACCTATCTATATGCTCAAATCCTTCCCACTGTAAAAACCTTAATTTAGCCTCCCTGCCGGCTACCAGCCTCTCTCTCTACCCCTGGCTCCCGCCACCACTGCCCTTCAGAGAGGGACCAGCCATATTTCAGGCCTCACTCCTGCACTCCCCAGTCCCTGGCCTGTCCAGGGCTGGCAGGCTCTGTCCCCACCATTTCACAGGCGATGCCCTTGCCAGTGTCACCAAGGAGTTCCTAATTCCCAAGGGCCTGTCTTACCTGGCTTCCCAGCAGCAGCAGCTCTGCTTCCCAGGAGAAACGCTCCTTCCTCCTTCTGCAGCCCCTATACCCTGACTTCCCTTGTGCCTCCAAGCGCTCCTTCTTGGCTTCTTTCACTGGTTCCTTTTTCCCCCCAGAGCTCCTTCCTTTCTCATAATAGGTGTTCTTCCTAAATCTTACCCACTCCTATGGCTTCAGCTCCCCCATACAAGCCAATGCCTTTCAAATCTGTCTCCAGCCCTGTTGATCCACAAATCCAACAGCCTCCTAGCCCACTTGCCCAGGCATCCTGCAGGCATCTCTAAATCAACATACCCCAAATGAAATTTATTACAGTACTCCACAAAACCACTCTGCCCTGTGTAGTCCTCATTTTTATTAAGGACCTTGCTGACTATATCAGTTTGGGCTGTTTTGGGCTGCAAGTAATAAAAAAAGTGTGGGGGGGAGCAATGAAAACTGCCTTAATAAATAAAGAAATTCATCAGCTTATGTGGCCAGTAGTCTCAAGGAAGAACCAGCTTCAGGGCTGGCATGATCCAGCTGCTGGCTGCAGCTCCTTTTCCTGCCCCTTCCTGGGCTCTGCCTTCCTCTGGGGGTGACTTCATCCTCAGGCCAGCAGCACAGTCCAGGGCCTTACCTTCATACAGAGGAACACTCTGATGAAGAGAACTTTCAGAAGGTCTCAGAAAAAGGAGGATGAACATTCCAGCAGCCTCCTGCAAGCATCTCCTTGAATCTCGCTGTCTTGAATTGAGTCACATGCCCATTCTTGAACCAATCACTTAGCCTTAGATCAATAAGGCCCATCCCTTAAGCTAAAGGATGGAGTGAATTTCCCACAGGCTGAGAAGGGGAGTATCTGAACAAAATTAGGGTTCTGTTGGGAAAGAAGAAGAGGAAACATATTTGTAGACAACCAACAGTGTCCTTTCTATCATTCGTCATGTACTCACCCCACCACAGCTGAAAGCCTGGTAGCTCTGTGGGCTCTTGGCTCCCCCTGCCTCCCATAGCCTCTTGGTCATGGGATCCTCCACCCGTCTCTTTAATAGCTCTCTAAGCAGCGCCTCCTTTCCATTCTCTTAGCCATCTGCATTAGTTCAGATCTCCATCATCTCTCACTATTTGTACCTGAATTTGATTCACTGAGTGTGCATTGAGCACCCTAAAGATCCACGGATAATGCTGAGCTCACAGCCTAGCAGGACCCGGATATAAACTAGGAGCTCCAGGGGAGTACGGTAAACATGACGACAGAGGTGTGCACAGAGCAGCGACCATACGCTCTGAAAAGGGCAGGGGATGGGGCCGGCCCGGTGGTGCAGCGGTTAAGTGCACGCCCTCCGCTTCCGCGGCCCGGGGTTCGCAAGTTCAGATCCCGGGCGGGCACCGACGCACCGCTTGTCAAGCCATGCTGTGGCGGCGTCCCATGTAAAGTAGAGGAAGATGGGCACGGATGTTAGCTCAGGGCCAGTCTTCCTCAGAAAAAAAGAGGAGGGTTGACATTGGATGTTAGCTCAGGGCTGGTCTTCCTCACACACACACAAAAAAAGAGCAGGGGATGCATTCTCAGTCTTGTCTAGAAAGCCAGGCAAATGGAGCCTCAAGCCCCCCTCCCACACCGATCGAGGCCCCTCAGCTCCTCTGGTCTGGAGATCCTGGAGCCTCCAGCTGCACAGTCCTGCAGATGGCCCTCCTTTGGGAGCTTGGGTCTACTGGAAATGTTGGGGCTCCCAACTGAGCCTCAAGGCTAAGTAGAGCTTGCCAGGCAGATAAGGGAGCAAGGAAATGCCATACAAGGGGGAACACACGGGAAACTGTATGGTGTGCTTTGGAAGAGAAAGAATCAGTATAGTTAGAGCATGGGTTTTGGGGAGCTGAGGAGAAGAAGCAAGGGTGGCATGAAAAGTGAGAGAGAATGAAAGATGGGAAACATTAGGCTGGTCCAGGCTGTGAAAGACACCTCTGCCTGGCTCAGCAAACTGCTGCTATTCCCTGAGCATCCCAGGCTCTGCTGAGTGAGCTCATATTCACCTTTCTAACCCAGCTCAAGTGTCAACTCGTATAAGCCATAATTACATATTCCTCCTGGCCCATTGAACCTCAAATGTACCTCTATGATAGCTCTTTCCATATTGGGGGCTGCCATGTAAGGCTGTACATGTTGCACACTGCACAAGGTTGCCCAGCTAAGAGGATGAGTAAGGACTGAAAAGTGACCTGTTCTTCTGGCTACAGTGTGCCCTGGAGCGGGTTCCTTCTTATAATTTTTTCACCAAGAGCATGTTGACTTTTTCTAATTTGTACAAAGGTGTCCTATGTGCTTAGCTGTGTCCTTGTCTAAAGGACTGTGTCTATTTGCTAAAAGTTTTCCCAATGACACACATACACACACACATACACACTGCTCCTTAGCACCAACAAACATATATTATTCATTTTGGCCTCTATCCTCAGGGTCAAAAACAGAGCCCACAAATGTTTGTTAGGTGAATAAATGAATGCACCAACGTGGTCGCTCAACACGTGGTCACGACTATTCTCTTGAAAACATGACTGTCTCATCCTAAATCCGTCCAACTAGGATGTAACAAGCATGTGTGTTTTTCTTTGGACACCACCCTCACATGCATTTACAGTCTGGAATCATAGATGCTTTATCTTCCTTCTCTTGAACTGCATCTGGAACACACGTCTTCGGTTTCTCCCCTTCCTCCAGTATTCTTTCCTCCTTTCTTTCACGTGTCATTCCTCAATCTAGATCAGTCCTGGGTATACTGGGAGAGTAGAGTCCTCTCACGTTGTCATGCTATTGACAAGGTAAAAATCGATGTTTGGATCAGCATTTCCAGAGTGTCTTCCCTCTTGCACAGTCAGTCCAGAAAAGACATTGAGTGGATGGTATTATGGGTTGAATTGTGTCTCCCTCCACAAAAAAACGATATGTTGAAGTCCTAACCCCTAGTACCTCAGAATGTGACCTTCCAGGATGTGTCTTTACAGAGGAAATCAAGTTAAAAGGAGGTCATTAGGGTGGGCCCCTAATCCAACATGATGGTGTCCTTACCAAAAGCAGAAATTTGGACCCAGACATGCACACAGGGAGAACATCATGTGAAGATGGAGGCAGAGATCTGGGTGATGCATCAACAAGACAGGGAACGCCCAAGATGGCCAGCAAAGCCCCAGAAGCTGGGAGAGAGGCCTGGAGTAGAATCTCCCTCACAGCCTCGGAGGGAACCCGCCCTGCTGACACTTTTACCTGGACTTTCAGCCTCCAGAATTCTGAGATGTTAATTTCTGTTGTTTAAGCCTCCCGATTTATGATACTTGTTACAGCAGCCCCAGGAAACGAATACAGCTGAATGCCAAGGGTTGGAGAAACTAGCAGTCCATGCTGTTAAATTTAACATGGACGTGTTAACCTTGCCAAGGTAGTCCTCTTGTTTCATAAGGACAAAGCATCTACTTTTATTTTGTTCTGCAACCAAATTGTGTGGTAAGAGACCAAGTTTGATCTGAAATGTTCTACATTAATGCAACTGGTCAAGGATCTGTGGGGAACATGTGACCCTCGGGACAATGGGATTAACCACAAATGCAAATCCTGGTTTGGAAATACAAGGTCCTTTTATGGTTATCTCAACACCCACCCAGGGTATTGCACTACTGGGAAACGTGCTGGCATCCACGCAGCGAGGAACAACTAGTTAAAACACAACGATCACCAACGTTGCTTTTGTCTAATGTAAGAACTTTATATTTTTAACCATTAAAAGCTTTTATATTTTAAAAAATATTCCCAACTGTTAACTCTAATAAGGTACCTTACATCTAGAAAGAGAACAGATTAATTCCATCTTGAGGATTCTGAAACAATCCACATTAATCACTCATCAGCACATCTGGGTGATTTATGATATATAATTGCTCAAATAATCTTGCATAGAGTTTGGGTTAGTTTTAAATGCCTCACACATTTTCTTCTACTGTGTTCTAATTCTTCCTTTCTGAATTGGGGTTTAAACAGCATGCAGAAATAGTATCTAAGATCATTATGCAGTTTTTTTAATCATCTCTTCCCAGCTATTTTCATAAACTTCTTTGTTACTTGAAAACTACACACAGAAGAGAGCCAAAATTTCATTTTAAATAGAAATGCTTCTGCACATGTTTCCTGTGGGACTCTTCAATGCAGCATATCTAACTCGGAAATTGTCATTCCATCTAAACATTAAAGTTACTTTGTTAGCTTCTTGCAACAAATGGCTGTCAATTTTCTTTTTCAGGCCATCTCTCGAGAAGACCTTCTCATGCGCCTGCTGGAATGTGATGTTATTATTTATAACATCACCGAGAACCCACAACAAGTGGAGGAAGCCATCTGGGCAGCCTCTGGTCAGTAGGTCTTCTGTCTCCAGGGACACTATTTTTGTGCAATTTACTTTGCCTAAGAGTCATTTTATGAACACTAGGCAAATTAGGGCCATGGAAAAACTGATCCAAGACTTACTTAAAACATGAAATGAAATCAGGATAATGAATATGCCTGTGGATAGTGTTAAAAGATTAACCGAGGCATATTAAAATTTTTAAGAGTTCATTGGAGCAAAAATCGATTTGAATGGGGCAGTGCCACATTGGATGTGGCTAGGAGCGCTCCACCTACAAAAACCAGGAGAAAGAATTTTATAGAGAAAAGCCGGAAGCAAAGCAACGAAATTATTTGATTAGCTATAGCTGAGGGTTTCCCTTACGTGGAAGGGCCTAGCTGGCTGTTTGTGAGGGGTTGTCTTTAGGTTTTGATTTCTTAACGTTGAGGCATTTACAGACTTAGATTTTGATTTGCTTACCTAAACTGCGAAGGTATTAGAACCACCTCAGTCTAATGGCCACCTGTTTAATTAAACAATAGATGCTTCCAAAGAATAGACTATTTTTAATCATTAAAAGAAATGAAACATTAACATCCAAAATTCCACCTTTATCCATTCCAGAGGCACTGCCTAAGGAGGTGGGGCTGAAGTCATCGGAAGATACAAAGACAAATAAGAAAAAGATTATACCCTCGGGGCACTTGTAGACCCACAAGAGAGCTACGGGCACATGAGAGGATCTCATCCTCAATGCAGGATAGAGAATGGCATGCTCCCAAGAGGGATGTGACTTTAAGGGGACAGGAATTATTTCCAACTGTGAGGATCTGATTCAATTCAACAAATGTCCCCTGATAGCAGGGGTCAGGGAGGGCTTGTGGGGAATCCTTGCATTTTTTAAATGCTTTGACAAATGAACTCTAAGGACCTCAGATCTAAGAGAACAAGGTGACGTTGAGCAATTTGGCGCTTTGTAAGTCATCTCCTCATTAAGTCGGAAGCACAGGAGAAAGCAAATTAGCTTACTGGAATCATCATTCTCGACTAGGAGGACAGCCAGAAAGACACGGAGCTCCTTACATTTCAATATCTTTTATACTTCAGTATCTTTGTCTTAGGCAGATTAGATCAGGGGTCAGAGAACTCTTTCTGTAAAGGGCCAAATAGTAAATATTTTTGCTTTTCGAGCCAACCACTCTGCCACTGTAGTGAGAACGCAGCCATAGACAATATACAAATGAATGGACTGGGTTCCAGTAAAACTTTATTTACAAAAAATAGGCAGTATTTTGCTAACCCCTGAATAAGATCAACAGCAAACCTGTATTTTGGCTTAAATTCAAAGAAATGGAATGGGGCCTCAGGAATGACTGTACAGTCATGTTCAGGAAAATGATGATGGAAAAGTACTGTCTGTGGATGTTGGGATTCCTCAGGAGCTTAGAATGTTTGATTTCTCATTTATGAGTCTGTGCCTAAATTTCATTCAGTGAGATACAAATCAAAAACACGAGCATTGTGTCATATTTTGGAAGGGAGCTTTTTTAAAGCCTACTGTCTGCATTTTGTCCCCTTGCAAATATTTACAGATGATATATAATCGCACCTTCTAAAATAATTGCACCACCTAGAAGAATAATCAGAGCTAATGTTTACTGAGTTCTTATTTTGTGCCAGGCTTTGAAAATTGATTTTTCTATATAATGTATATTTGCCATTTTTTTTTAATTGTAAATTTTTTCTGAAATAAAATCTGGATATGTTTTGAAAATTAAGAAGCGCAGTAGGGCTTAGAAAAAAACCAACAATTTCCTGCATTTCCTTTCCATCCCATCCCTAACCCCACAAAAGGAACCTCATTTAATCCACTGTTCCTTTTAACACATAAAAATACCTGTGCTGATGTCCTTTGATTGTGCATCTTAGACATTAACCACTGACTTCCTGCTCTGATAGGTGAGCCTCAGCCCCTTGTAGGACCACCCCATGCCCCTCAGGGGACATACTCCTTTCTCAAACTTTGACACTGCATTTCCTTTCAGGAGCTTTAAATGCAGTGTATGACTGTTTCCTTCTTCATTGGAATAAAGAGCTTTAAATAATTAAGAAAATTTTACTTCTTTATTTGGTGGAAAGGCTTTAACTGTATTACCTCATTTTTGAGATATAGAGTGTTTGTGTCTGCAGGAAAGTAGAGTCCGAGTCCCTGGGTCTGTCCTCGGGGTCACCTGGAGGGCAGGGGGTTGGCGGGGCCATGGAGAAGAGGGGCAGAACTTGATCATTTTACCTGATGCACGTTCTTAGATTTGGGGGTTTTTGTTTTTCCAATGGTATGTGTTACTTCTTAAAAATGTTTTATTAAATTATTTTTAAATGTTTTGTATTAAAAGAATTAGAAATATTTATAATTATTAAATTTAATTATTTAACTATTAAATATTTAAATATTAGACAATATTTTATATTAAAAGAATTCTCCTACTTTTCACAGATACTGTCAAAGGAAGACAAGTGACATAGGGAGAAAGGAATACAGTATTAGAAATGAGAGAAATCATTTGCACATAGGGATAAAATGTGCTTGTTTGAAAGTGAACAAGCAGATCATTTTAGACCCATAAAAATTATCAGAGGTAAAGAAGGGTAACCCAATTCGAGTCCCTCTAAGTGTGCCACCATTCACAAAATAGGCCAGTCTGAAGCACAGCGGAGCAGAAAGGGTAAAAGAGCAAAATTAAATTGAAGAGGCAATTTTTGTTAATAGACTAGAAATAGAAACTAAAATTAATGGTTGAATTTGGGATTAATATGTGGACATAGCGTTCTTACAGTTAATGCAATAATCCTCTCTCATCTTCCGGTCGGAATCCATGCGTTTGTTAGATTCAGGATATCAGCACTTTATTGTTTCCTTGTTGTTTAAGAAATCAGTTCATGAGACTAAAAATGTACCCATGACAACTGTGTCACTTAGATCCTCTGACGATTTAATTTTTCCAATTTTGGAAAATTACATGTCATGAGAAATATTTTAGTGGAATCACATGCCGCAGTATTCAAGGAGATTCAATGCTTGACTGTTTGTGGAGAGCCCTCCCGGAAAGTGAGGAACCCTTTGGAAACCACATGGTCACCCTTCGGGCCACCGCCCTTCCACATTCCGGCTCATGTCCAGCATCCCCGCCTTCCGGAAGCCCTCCGCACACGGCCCACAGTCCGCACCGCACCGGCGCTCCCCCCCCGCCCCAGCCAGGGGGACTGCAGGCGTGGGCAGACCCCAAATTACTTCCTTCCACAACAGCTTAAGCCAAATAGGACTGCTTTATGGGAAATCATAGAAAGGCCTTATCTCTGATCTGGACCTTCCACAGCCCGCATCCCCAACCTTGATGGGTGTCCTGCTCCATTCCCCACGGAGCTGGCCCTACGGCTTAGTGGGGCGAGCACAGGCCTTGCAACCAGGCTGCCCGGATTGGACTCCCTGCCCCACCACTTCCTTCCACGATTCTGGGCACACTGTGCCTCAGTTCCCTTATCTGTAAAACAGAGATCACAGTAATACCTGTCTCACAATGGTAAGAACTCAATAAAGCCCACGAATTGTTCCAATCCATGTGAGCTATGATTATCACTAGCCTTCCAAAAAAGTGCAAGCACACTGCTACAGGCCAGGCAATAGGAAGGGGGCTAAAGTTTTGGGCTGAAGTCAGGTGGCTGGAGGGAAAATGTCAAGAACAATGATGGGGAGGGGACAGTGAAGCGTCAGAGGTGACGCTGCCCTCTCAAGTTGGTCCCTGAAGGAGTAACTTCAAGTCCCGCTGAGAACTGACAGTACACGTGATTTCAAAACCACGTTCTGCATGGAGCCGAATAACCGCTCTGCCTTTTGGCCCCGCAGCACTGAATGAAGAAGTCAACCATTTTGAAAAGCGAAAGCTGTTTATCTTAGTGTCCACGGTGATGACTTGGGCGCGATCCAAACCCCTGGACCCTGTAAGTAGTGCTCCCGCTTTTCCTTTATGCAACATTTCACCCTCTATAGCTTGTAAACTGCGTGCGGAGAGAACTTTCTACAGTGAATTGCGTATTCTTACATTCCTGAACCCTATCCCATAAGAAGCACTCGACAGAGCTCGTTGATCCTAAGCACGCTCGATTCTAAGGGGCCCCTTTGTTTCATATGCCACTAAAAAGAAAAAGAAAATGCTGCCTGTGAAACTATAACAGTGTTTGCTGATCACTTGTACTTAGTATTTTAAATGTATTGAGACAACTCTCTTTTAGACTTATTTAGACCTATATTTTTATCCTATGCATTCTTGTGCACACAATAAAAGGAAAATATAAGCAAAATGCCATGTTATAGTATTCCAAAAACTTCTTCGTGTTCCCAGTCCGGCTCCTCTGAATCACACCTACACTGTCTGTTTCCACACAATAACTCAGTGTAAAACCTGAGTCATGTCATTTATTTGTCAGTACTTTCCTTTCCTGTAAAGCACGTGCTTATTACTCTGCAAGAAAATAATGGACTTACAGTCATTCTTCTAACATTGCCTATTCTCTTTACCGTTGTCAGATTTCCATCTGCTGCTCTGCTGCAGTGCCTTTGTGCCTGTGAACCACCTTTTCACTTCAGTGCTGAACCACAGCATAATCTTTTAAAAGATATTTAAAAAAGCAATTAGATCAACATGCATGGTACCTAACTTGTAAAGGGATGACGCTATGAACCATTGTGCTCGAGGTCACCCTGGCACCAGGCAAGGACAGTGTCAATGCTTCCTGGCTGACCACAGTTGTAATAAGCCGTTGATTACAAGACACATTGTAATTTCAGAGATGTTAAAATGTGAAAAAAATGCACATGTTGGAATCAATGGAGTACATTATTTTTAATAAGGAAATATTTAGGGATTTATCACACATTGCATCAAATGCCATTTGTTTGTTTAATTATCGCTCCCTTGGTGGATCTTTGAGGGCAAGGACCAGTGATTTCATGTCCCTTTCTTGTAAAGTTCACTTACCTGCTCCATTTGGTTGCCATCACCTCAAGGAGCAGACCAGTCATTTTATTTCTGTTATAGTTCTTTTCCTCAGAGTGTCTCATAAACTATCTGCTACATAACAATCATTGGTCACTTGACTGGCTGACCATTTTGCTGGCCTGACTGATTGTCCCCACTCCTTCAGTTATAAACTAAATTGTGCTGACTTAAGCAAAATGGGAATTTATTGACTCACATAATTGGTAAGTCTAATAATGGACTTCAGGCACAGCTGGATCTAGAGACTTAAACAGTGTCCTCAGAGCTCACCTACTCTCTTTCTCTTTTCTATTGCTTCTTTTCTCCTCTGAGAAGACTTCATTCTCAGGTAAGCTCTCCCCTCCTTCTGGCCCCCAGCAGCTCCCAGGCTCACATCCTTAGAGCTTTAATCCTCTTTTCCACTTTGGCCAAGTCCCATCCCAGGACTGGAATATGCTATTTGCCAAGGTCTTAGCTCATGGGCCTCACCTTGAACAGTCACTGTGGCTGGGGGAATGCAGAGCTCTGATTGGTCAGACCTGGGATCATATACTCACTTCTAGAGGCAGGGATCATCAGCCCCCTAAACTAGATGGGCTGAGAGTGGAGAAGAGATGGTTCCCCAAACAAAATATGGAGAAATGGCTCCTGTGTTAGCTCCTCTGTCTTTTTGGCTTGTCCCCATCCTCTTGCTGTGGTTTTCATTTGCATTTCCCTAAAGGCTCATGATGATTTTGTCAGGTTTATTAAGGTACAATTTGCATACAGTGAAATTAACCCTTTTTACTGTACAATCTATAAGTTTTGACAAATGCATACAGTTGTGTAACCACCACAACAATCAAGATATAGAACATTTCCATCACCTCCCAAAATTCTCTACCTCACATACAACAAAAGTTCCAGATAGATCACATAATTAAATGTAAAAAGCAAAACTTTCATTTTTTAAGAAAAATTATGGCAAGTTATAGGGAAGGATTTCTTAAACAAGACCCAATAATGCTAAATATTTTTTAAAAATTGACAAATTCAACTGCAGTAAAATTAATGAAGTATTTATGGATGAAATGATACTGTATCTGAGATTTGCTTTGAAATAATCCAAGGGATTGAGGAAATAGGTGGGGGTATAGAGGAAACAAGATTTGCTACGTAGAAACCTGAATCGAATCATGTGGAAACATCACACAAACCCAAATTGAAGGTCGTTCTAGTAAATAACTGGTCTATATTCTTTAAAAATGGCAATAAAAGACAAAGAAAGCTGAAACGTTGTTCCAAATAAAGAAGACTAAAGAGACATGGCAATTCAGTGCAATACATGATCCTAAGTGAGACCCTATACTGGAGGAAAAAAATGCTATAAAGCACATTATTGAGACAATTGACAAAATTGGATCATGGGCTGTAGATGGGATACAATTATTGTATCAATATTAAATTTCCTGAATTTTCTAACTGTACCATGGTTATGTAGGAGAATGTTCTTGGAAATACACTGAAAATTAAAGAGAAAAGGAGCATGATATATGCAACCTACTTTCAAATAGTTCAGAAAAAATAAGTAATAATATATGTGTAGTGTTGGGGAAATAGAATTAAAAACAAAATCTTCACCCAACCCATAAAATCTCTCCACAAGGTGGTGGAGAAAGAAAACAGCTTTATTATCGGATAAACATTGAACGGAAATGCTGGGGCTGGCCCCATGGCGTAGTGGTTAAGTGCACATGCTCCGCTGTGGCGGACTGGGTTCGGATCCTGGGCCTGCACTGACGCACCGCTTGTCAGGCCATGCTGTGGTGGCGTCCCATATAAAGTGGAGGAAGATGGGCACGGATGTTAGCCCAGGGCCAGTCTCCCTCAGCAAAAAGAGGAAGATTGGCATGGATGTTAGCTCAAGGCTAATCTTCCTCACAAAAAAAAAACAAAAAAAAACCGGGAATGCTATACACATCACAGGCAATAGGCTAAGAGATTGCAAAGATAGAAGAAATTTCCACTCTTTTACATAGCCAGGCAGATACGATCCATAACATACATGTTTTCATGAAACAATCACTCGTCCTCGAGTGAGAGGACTTGACAGCACCACTTGTCACACATGTCATGTCCTAGATTCATCTAGTAATTGGGGTGACCATCTGTGTTAGCTGATTGGCTTTATCCAGAGGAAAAGCAAACATTTCACATCTTTATAACAGGAGCTAGTTTTGCAACCTGCAGCAAGGCGCAGGGTGCTGTCTCTCCCCTGATGTTCACATTTCGAAGAACTATCTCCCAGGTCCTTGAGGAAGACATTTCTTTGTCGTAAAGCAGGCAAGAGGCTTACTTAGCTTCTAAAAGGACTTACACACATTTTGAAGAGACAGAGAAAGAACTTAAGTTTTCTAAAGTAAATGCTCTGGGGCCGGCCCCGTGGCTTGGTGGTTAAGTGAGCGCGCTCCACTGCTGGCGACCCGGGTTCGGATCCCAGGCGTGCACCGACGCACCGCTTCTCCGGCCATGCTGAGGCCGCGTCCCACATACAGCAACTAGAAGGATGTGCAGCTATGACACACAACTATCTACTGGGGCTTTGGGGGGAAAAATAAATAAATAAAATCTTTAAAAAAATAAAGTAAATGCTCTAAGAAAAGTGATGGGGGAGAAATCTCTTCCCTTATTTTCAACAGGAAGAATTAAGCCTCTTATTTAAAATTTTTATTTGTCCTTAAAACATACATACGGATAGACAGAGCTAGAGAGAGAATGAAAAAACAATGTCTGAAAATGTTAAATATGAGTGAATCTGAGTAAAGGATATATAGGAGTTCTCTATATTATTTTTGCAAACTTTCTATAAATTTAAAATTATTTCAATGTAAAAGGTTTATAAATAAATATAATTTAGTAGAAGCACACTGGGAGCAGAAGAAAGCCCAAATGGAATTTCAGTTTTCCTTGTATAATGAACAGTTTCACTAATAGTGTGTTCTAGGATTTTTGTGCGAGTCACAGGTGACTTGTAATGATGAGTTAAACTCCACTAAATCTGTAAGGGCAGGACGCCTGAGGATATGAGGTACTCCAAATGTGCCCCTCTTTCCACTCAGGTCAGCACAAACATTGAATAAGCCCATTGCAGTGCCGCCAGTTCACGACTTCCTTTAACTCCCATGAATGCCCCCTTCTCTAAACACGTCCACCGTACCAGATACAGTTATGATTGGAACAGAAAGTTAAAACCTGAAGGTGATACCTGTCCTCAGTGTCCAGCCATAGAGCTGACTGGTTCCCCTTCTAGGGAAAAGGAAGCAAACTGAGCCCAAGCTGGTCTTGGCAATGATTTTTTTGGATTTGACACCAAAAGCAAAGGCAACAAAAACAAAAATAAACAAGTGGGACTACATCAAACTAAAAAGCTTCTGCACAGCAAAGGAAACCATCAACAAAATGAAAAGGCAACCTACAAAATGGGAGAAAATATTGCAAATCATATATCTGAGAAGGAGTTAATATCCAAGATATATAAAGAACTCATACAACTCAATAACAAAAAACTCCAAATAATCCAATTAAAAAATGGGCAGAGGATCAGGATAGAAATTTTTCCCAAGAAGACATACAGATGGCCAACAGTTACATGAAAATATGCTCAACATCACTAATCATCAGGGAAATGCAAATGAAAACCACGAGATATCACCTCACACCTGTTAGAATGGCTATTATCAAAAAGACGAGAGACAACAGGGCAGGGATGTGGAGAAAAGGGAACCCTTGTGGATTGTTGGTGGGAATGTAAATTGGTGGAACCACTATGGAAAACAGTATGGAGGTTTCTCAAAAAATTGAAAATAGAACTACCATATGATCCAGCAATTCCACTTCTGGGTATTTATCCAAAGAAAACGAAATCATTATCTCAAAAAGATGTCTGCACCCCCATGTTCATTGCAGCATTATTTACAATAGCCAAGACATGAAACAACCTGTGTCCAGCAACGGATGGATGGATAAAGAAGTTTTGGTGTATATATACAATGGACATATATATAATATACAATTCAGCCACAAAAAAAGAAGGAAATCCTGCCATTTGTGACAACATGGATGGCCCCTGAGGACATTATGCTAAGTGACATAAGTCATATGGAGAAAGACAAATACTGTATGATCTCCCTTATAAGTGGAATCTAAAAACAAAGATGAATTCATAGATACAGAGAACAGATTGGTGGTTGCCAGAGGTGGGGGTAGGGGGGTGGGGGAATTGGGTGAAGGGGGCAAAAGATACAAACTTCCATTTATAAGATAAATTAGTCCTGGGGATGTAACATACAGCATGATGACTATAGTTAATACTGCATTGTATATTTAAAAGTTGCTAAGAGAGTAGATTTTAAAAGTTCCCATCACAAGAATAACAAAGTGACTGTCTGTGGTGATAGATGTTAACTAAACTTATTATGGTAATCATTTCACAGTATATACATATATCAAACATTACGTTGTACATATAAAACTAACACAATGCTATATGTCAATTATATCTCAATTTTTAAAACAAGAATATTAAATCAATATTAAAATCAGCAGTAGTTTTTAGAACGCTTTATTTGAACTTAAAGGAACACAGTCGCTCTAGCGTCTTTGGGCTTAGAAGTTTTATGTAGCTCTAACGCACCACGAGTGGCCTTTTTTATTTTATAGGAAGAGTCTGAGATTCCATTTACTGAAGAAGATTATCGAAGAAGAAAGAACCATCCTAATTTTCTGGACCACATAAATGCTGAAAAAATGGTTCTCAAATTTGGAAAGAACGTAAGTCTGGAGAAGGAGAACATTAGGGTAGGAAAAGTTTGTTTTGAGGCAGTGTACAATGCACATGGCTGGGTCTGTTCCACATGCTTTATAAACATCATCTCAGCTCATTGAACATCTCCTTGCTTGGTTTCCTCATCCTCACACCCATAGATCTCTGAGCTTCAGGCTCACCCCAAGTTGCATTGTCCTGAGACTCTGGCCCAGTCCGCTCAGGTGAAAGCCTTGAAAGGGGTCCTCAGCAGAGCTCAAGCCCTCACCTACCAAGGAGTCTGTGGGTCCAAAGAGTTGCTTGGCCCAGAAGAGGCAAATAATTCAGAGTTGAAACGGGGAGGAGGGGAACCACATTTTCCCTTTCTTCCAGAATCTCTCTCATTTGTTTCTTACAACAACTCTGAAAAATGCATGTTGACCCCATCTTACAAATGAGGAGATGGAGGCTTCCAGAGGTCGATAAGCTGCTCAAGGTCGCACAGCTGGGATTTGCCGAGCACTGTCCTGAGCACTGCTTGGCCTTGTCTGATCTACTCCTTACGACAATGGTTTTGTGTACATACATAATTGCCCGCATCTCACAGTTGCGGCTGTAAGAGAAGGAGGCACCAAGTGGTGGAGCTGTGACACACACATAGATCCATCAGACACCAAAGACTGTGGGTTTTGTTTTTATTTTTTTTCCTGACTCCAAAACTCCATCATTGGATAGAGCTGATCTTGACACATCCGTGGTCACCGGTTATTAAGACATACCTGTAGCTGAGGAGTTCATGTAAACAATAATATAGGTTGTTAGCCTCCTGTTGCAGCAAAGTTTATCATTTTGATATATATATTATAAAATTATTTTATTTCTCTTATCTTTTATCAAAATAGATGAGAGGAATGCCCTGATGATGAATAAGCAGTAACAGCTAAAAATTGTGGGCTCGCTCACTGTGTGCCGGACACTGTGCTAAATGTTTTACTCCCAGGACCTCATGTAATCCTCGTGTATCTCATATGTAATCCTCAAAATCTTGTGAATTAAGTGCTGTTATCATCATCCTCATTTGACTTATGTAGAACTTATACAGAACCCCCAAACTTCTAAAGGTTCCATCTGCGAGAAGGTCAAATACCGTATGATTTCCTTCATTAAGTAGTAGATAATAACAACAATAAACAAACACATAGGGACAGAGATTGGATTGGTGGTTACCAGAGGGGAAGGGGGGAGGGAGGAGGGTGAAAGGGATAATTGGGTACATGTGTGTGGTGATGGGTTGTAATTAGTATTTTGGTGGTGAACATGATGTAATCTATGCAGAAATAGAAGTACAATGATGTACACCTGAAATTTTTACAATGTTATAAACCAATGTTACTGCAATAAACAAAAAATTTAAAAAAAAAAATAAAATAAAATAAATAAATAAATAGAAAAAAAATAAATAAATAAAGGTTCCATCTGCTGTGTTTTTCCCATTAGCGGAAGACCCGCAGTAGAGATATGTAATAATAGCTCTAAGGTGACACCTAGTGGTCTCAGAGGATATTACAGTAGGAACTTTGTCCCCAAGTTCTGTCCTACTGTTAAAAATTTTTTTTCTTTGGCAGTACAAACGCTGTGAGTATAAGATATTTGAAGGAAGCAAAATGGGATTAGGAATTCTAGTCCCTTTTCTACCCATTAACTTGCGACCTGAGCCAATTCATTAAACTTTGGGGGTTAAAATAAACAAATAAAATGAAGGGGCTAGATTAGACAGTCTAAATTTCTTCCAATCCCGAATCCTATAACTATATTATTTTATTAAACTTTGAACATTGCCAAATTATCATCAGTATCATCTTGTTCTTTTGTTTTCCATGTCTCAATTTTTTCATCATTTTAAACATATTAATCTTATAATCTCTGCTAATTTATTTTCTGAAGGCAATGTGAGTCTGATTTCATTCCTGGTGGATTGTCCCTTCATAAATTTTGTAATTTTGGTTTATGAGTTTATCTTCAATAGTTTTTTTTATTACAAAAAAAGTAAAGTTTCTTTTAATAGGCATTTTTTTTGTGATTTATAAAACTCCAATTTAAACGTAGTCCTGTAATTTTACATGGATTTTTAAAAATAGCAGCTCTTTACCTTGTCAACATCCATTTCTTTATAGCTCACCATCCCCCCTAAAAACCTCATATAAATGTGTTCTCAGGAAAAAGTGGGTCAGTGCAAAGTCCATCTGTCTTTCAAAAGTGCTGCTGTAAAAGTTTCAAGTTATTGATGAATCAGGCGCCTTCAGGATTCATGGTGGTCAGTGAGAAATGGGAATTCACACTGAGAATTGTTACCATGAAGTCACCACCCTCGCCCTACCTGGTGTCCCTTTATTGGGGCTTTAAAGGGCAGGGAAGGTCCCTCCCGGGGGTGGGGAGGGGGCCTTGTATTTGCCTCTATAAAATGCCCCAGATGTTAATTTTTCCACTCTGGGATCCCTGGATTAAGCAGGTAATTTAAATTTGAAAGACAAACCGTTGAGAAGTACAAGGCCAAGGTTGGAATTCTCAGGGGAGCTTACTTTGCTCCCAGAGCCTTGTCTGGGTTTGACATGTTTCCTTGTGGCCTCTCTGTCACGGGGTGGATTTTTTTCTAGTTCACCCTTTTGTTGTGGATGGATCCTTCATTATTGTGGCCAACTCCTAACCCCACCAGACCAAATGCTTTGCCTCCTCTCCCCACATGGATTTAAAAACCCACCCACACTCCTAGATTAAGAGACCATGGACTTCCCAGGGCTGCCACACCATCAGCTCCACCACTTTTCTTTTCAATTCTCTATTTTTGGCCCCTAAGGATATCTCTTATTTTCTTGAGAATTCTGCTACTAGTGGCATTTTATTTGGCATTTCTAGGTGTTTGTGGTAGGAAAAGTTTTAGATTTTTTAATCCACTATATGACCTGGAGCAGAAGAGGGAGACTTCATTTTCCTGGTAAAGATTCTAGACTCAATTCCAATATGTGTTTGTGTAGGGGGGTTGTTTCCCCCACACCACCAAGCAATTCTCGGACACCAGCTGGGTGTCCTACGATTCAATTCAATTCTGACACTATCTACCTGGAGACAGCATCAGATCCCACAGGTTAAGGGCTCAGTCCTGCAAGACTGCTCCCTGCTTTTCAGATGCCAGTTGCAAGTTCAGGTTGTCACCTGTGCTTCTAACCAACCCCTATAGATTGGAGGTTCTAAAACCCCCCGCCTTGGGTTCGATTAATTTGCTACAGTGGCTCACAGAACTCAGAGAAACATTTTACTTACTAGGTTACTGGTTTATTATAAAAGAATATAACTCAGGAACAGACAGATGGAAGAGATGCATAGGGCAAGGTATGGAGAAAGGGCACAGAGCTTCCATGCCCTCGCCAAGTGCCCCACTCTTCCCAAATCTCCACGTGGTCACCAACCAGGAAGCTCTCTGAACCTTCTCCTTTTAGGTTTTTATGGAGGCTTCATTACATAGACATGATTGATTAAATCATTGGCCATTGGTGATTGAACTCAATCTCCACCCCTGCTGCCCTCCCTGAAGGTGAGAGGGGCTGAAAGTTCCAAGCTTCTAATCACATGGTTGGCTCCTCTGGCAACCAGCCCCCATCCTCAGTGGGGTCCAAAAGTCACCTCATTAACGTAGTAAAAGACACCTTCATCACCCTCATTGCTCAGGAAATTCCAAGGGTTTTAGGAGCTCTGTGCCAGAAATGGGGATGGAGACCAAATATGTATTTCTTATAAATCACAATACCACAGCTGAGTACCAGTATTATTATTTATCTTGAGTCACTGGCAGCTTTAGGGGTTAACACCGTTTTCTTATATCTTTAGATAAATACAAATGTTCATGGTCTCAGTAACTTGCTAGACTGAATTATCAAAAGTCAATCGAGAATGCCAAAAATTATCAGAAACTTTACAACTTAATAGTTGTTAATGTAGAATAATTTCTGATGCCCAGATAGTTTTCACATTGTGTGGGTTCCACAAGACCCAACTCATAAAAGACACTTGTGCCTGTGAATTATGACACATTGGAATTGCAATTTTATGTTTGTATTTTATTTATACATTGTCTGTTGTTAGAAACAACAGGCCCAAAATGGAGTCAGTTATGCTAAGCCCCACATCACCAAACCGAGACTTGACTTAATTCCAGTTTCGGCTCTCCCAGAAATGGAATCTTAAACTGGTCAATCAGCAATCACCTGATCAGCACGAGTTAGGTAATCTGCCTGATAGACCCCTGCCATCCCCTAAAGGAAGTGACCTTGCCACAACCAACACACTTTTTTGTCTAGTATAACTTCCTTGTTCCTGTTCCCTTCTGCCTATGAAAGTCTTCCATTTTGTACAGTTCCTCAGAGCTCCATTCTATCTGCTAGATTGGATGCTGCCCGATTTGAATCAATTTTTGCTCCAGTAAACTCTTAAAATTAAGTTTTAATATGCTTCAGTTTATCTTTTAACACTGTAACCAATCAGTTAGTGGTATACTTTAGGGGATTTCTTCTCAAGCAAGTAGAGAATAACCGTTGAAAGGTCTAGTACAAATATCTGTAAACTTGATTAGACTAAAATGTTCAGTATGTGTATCCCCAATTTTGCATTCTTTGTTAACTTTACTACAGAAAAGAAAAATAAATTTCTTCCCCGTAATGTATTGTTTATGGCTCTATAAGATTTCCAAATGTGGGATATGATTTCACCAAAATTCAAACAAGCCAGCCAGACTTTGGCCTTCTTTGTTGGACCTTGTCTAGGCTGATGCTAGTATTTTACTCTTCATTAACTATGTAAGTCATAGGAAGAAACTGCTCAGAAAAATTACTGGCTTGGGGCATAGCACTCCAGACTGGCCCATTCTCTAGTCCTCCACTCCACTTCTATAAAAGGGCCCCTGGTCTCCCAGAGAGAGAACAGTCAGCAGACCTCCTTCAAGCTATCTTGGTAAGGGCAAAAATTGTATGTATCCATTTAAGTAAAGTGAGAAATATCTGGATCCCAATTTTAGCCAATTTCATTCCCAGTGCCTTTGTCCAAATTGTAGTCTCAGCTCAGAGTAATTCATAAGGGAAAAGATCCAGCATGTACCCAAACACTTACTGACAATTAAAAAGTTTGAACTAGAACCAGTTTCCTCCTTAACTATTTTGTCAGGGAAGGCGAGTGAAGACAGAGCATTTATTACTTTATTGCCCTCCCCTCACCCACAGTTAAAATCTTTGGACTTTATTTTATTCCCCTTGTTTGGTAGCCCCCTCCTCATCTCTCAGCTCCGCTCTCCCACCCCCGTTGCCTTCTAAAACCTCAGCGGGTATGTCATTTCTTCCTGGAAAGCCACCATGCCCATCTGGTTGGGCCTTGAGAGGATACGCAGAACCACCTCCAGCTTGAAGTCCTTTCAAATCCCTTTGGGAATCTTCTGTTGTCACTTTACCTAGTACAGTTAGGAAAAGCCAGGGAACTAGATCCCCTTGCCCTTGCCTGGCTCACCACTGGTCCAGATGTAGAAGAATGTGGATCAGTTACAGTGATAGGGTCACTCTTCAAAAACCCCACTTGGTGATCCCAGTTCTCCCATACCATGGGGTTTTCCATCTCTACTTGGGCTCCATCCTCAGTCCATCATCCATCCCTTCAATTTACCAACATCTAACCTTCCAAAATCTGATCATAGTGGTGATGGGGGGGGTGGGGTGTCTTTATTCTACTTTATCTTTTTTCTACTTCTGACACCAGCTACAGTGTTTTAATCAGGTGATGGATTAGGAAGAAGAAGTCAGTCACACACACATGTACTCACAAATCGCTTTCTCAGATAAGATTAAATTCCCAATTTAATTAACCGAAGATAAAAAGTCTGATCTGAAGTGGGGTGGCCTGTGGTGGCCTGTGAGTCAAGTGTTTAATGGAACTAGGCAGACCTCTGCTGGTCACTGCACCTTTTATACTTGGACCTCACATCAGACCAGGAGAAATTGTACCAACCATTACACGAGTCTCTCTAGGTTTTTAAATTAAACATCGGGGCTGGCCCAGTGGCGCAAGCGGTTAAGTGCGCGCGCTCCGCTGCAGTGGCCCGGGGTTCGCCGGTTCGGATCCCGGTTGTGCACCAACGTACTGCTTGGCAAGCCATGCTGTGGCGGTGTCCCATATAAAGTGGAGGAAGATGGGCACGGATGTTAGCCCAGGGCCAGTCTTCCTCAGCAAAAAAAGAGGAGGATTGGCAGATGTTAGCACAGAGCTGGTCTCCTCAAAAAAAAAAAAATAATAAAAATAAATAAATTAAACATCATCAAAGCCATGTGGTTATTAGATTATGAGGGAGGAGGGCATTAAAAGCAGAAGAATCAATGCCCAGGTATCCCTAAGTATTATCTCTGCCTTAAGCTTTTCAACATGCCAAAAAGCCCATTTCCCCACAGTGTAGATGCTAGTACCATGATGACTTTTTTTTTTTTTTTTTTTGGTGAGAAAGATTAGCCCTGAGCTAAAATCTGTTACCAATCTTCCTCTTTTTGCTTGACGAAGGTTGTTGCTGAGCTAACATCTGTGCCAGTCTTCCTCTATTTTGTATGTGGGATGCCATCACAGCATGGCTTGATGAGCGGTGTGTAGGTCTGTGCCAGGGATCCGAACCCACAAATTCTGGGCTGCCCAAGCAGAGTGCTCCAACTTAACCGCTATGCCACCAGCCTGGCCCCCATGATGACTTCTAAAAGTAGTGAAATATTGAGGCAAATTTTCCCAGCCCCTAAATTACTCCTCCCAGATGAAGTGAACACTCCATGTCAATTAAAATACTTGTATTGGGGAGCCAACCCCGTGGTGTAGTGGTTAAGTGCATGTGCTCTGCTGTTGGCGGCCCAGGTTCGGATCCCGGGCGTGCACTGACACACCGCTTGTCAGGCCATGCTGTGGCGGCGTCCCATATAAAGTGGAGGAAGATCGGCTCAGATGTTAGCTCCGGGCCAGTCTTCCTCAGCAAAATGAGGAGGACTGGCATGGATGTTAGCTCAGGGCTAGTCTTCCTCACAAAAAATTAATTAATTAATTAATTAATTAAAATCCTTGTATTAAGGGCCATTACCAAACTCCTTGGTTTTGTGTATGTTTCCCTCCCTTACTGGTAATTAAAGGTCATCGTGGAAGGAGAGATTTTTGTATCTCCCTTTTCCTCTAGGGGCCCAGTGTAGTGCTTAGAGGTATTAAGTCTTCACAAATAATAAACTCTGGCTTTCATTTAATTAAGGGTCCCAATTAAATTTTAACAGTGGTCAGAGGCATCCTGAATGTGTGGGTGATGTTGATTCCCCCTCTTAGGGATTCTATTTCTATCCTAAATAATACCTTAGCAACCTGAAAGGGGTGAGGAGACTTCCTAAAGTGCTCATTTTAACCACTAAAATAATCTGGTTCCATGTGATTAATAATATTATATTTAGCTTTTTCCCTGTATTTTATCTAATAGGCCAAAAAATTCACAACTTATGTGGTTGCTGCTGGACTTCAGTATGGAGTGGAAGGAGGCATCTTACATCCTTTTTTCAAGGTATGACTTTTCAATGACTATGAGGATTTTTTTAAGTGTTTTACAGTAAGGTTATACAACTTGAAGATATTTTTGATTGCTTCTAGATGTGGCTAGGCCAGTAGAACAGCAGAGTTAAGGAAGATATGGATGTAGACCATAACCACCTATTTTTCTTTCCCATTATCGGCAACTTGTATTCACCACTCTCAGAATAATAAAAAGATGGATCTCCTTTCATTCCTGGAACAAATGTTGATGGAGTGCCTTTGTAGAGACTGGGAATCCAGTAACATAATGAAGTCCCTGCACTTGTGGACCTTACATTCCAGAGGGGGGGAGAGGAAGAGCGAGCGATACGATAGATAATACACAAATTAGCTGGCAAACATAGAGTATTTCAGATGTTGAAAAATAAAGGGGAAAACAACAAAGCAGAGAAAGGTAGAAAGAGAGTGCCAGGGCCGGCCCGGTGGCGCAAGCAGTTAAGTGCGCACACTCCACTGCAGCAGCCCGGGGTTCGCTGGTTCGGATCCCGGGCGCGCACCGACACACTGCTTGGCAAGCCGTGCCGTGGCGGCCTCCCATATAAAGTGGAGGAAGATGGGCACGGATGTTAGCCAAGGGCCAGTCTTCCTCAGCAAAAAAAAGAGGAGGATTGGCAGATGTTAGCACAGGGCTGATCTCTTCACACACAAAATAAATAAAATAAATAAATAAATAGATGATGAAAATTTAAAAAGAAAGAAAGAAAGAGAGTGCCAGGGGTAGAGTTGGGAGGTTAAATCTTATATATGGTGGTTGAGGAATGCTTTTCTAATGATGTGACATTTGAGCAGAAAGTGAAAGGCAATGAGGGGGCTAGCGCATTTGCTTTCTGGGGAAAGGCAGTGGGAATTGTAAGTACAAAGAACTGAGACAGAAATATGCTGGCTCTGGGAAGGAACAGCAAAAAGACCAACGTAGCTAAAGTACGGGAGTCATGGGCCGGCCCTGTGGCTTGGTGGTTAAGTGCGCGCGCTGCGATGCTGGTGGCCCGGGTTCGGATCCCGGGTGCGCATCGAGGCACCACTTCTCCGT